AACCTGGGTGTCTGTTGTCTTGTGTAGTCTGGGAGACCCTCAATCCCAACCATGTGAGACCATCTGTCTGGCAGCTAAAGCTTGGTCAAATGTCAATCATGAAACAGGACAATGCTGCCTAGCACAGCAGTAACTCTACAACACAATGAACGAAAAAGAAAAGAATTGAGGTGCTGCAATGGTGCAGTCAAAGTCCGGACTTGAAACTGACTGAAATGATGTGGACCTTAAGAATGCTGTACATAAACACAACGATATGAGAGACTTCTAGTCATACAGAAAACCATTAATTCTGGTTATTTCTGCTAAAGGTAGCTCTAAAATCTGTTGACATGTGTTTAGTTTTTCACGAAATTGCGTAGTACTTCATCAGGAAAATGAGTCATGTCATGAGTCATTTTGAGGAATAATCAGAGACCCTGCAACATGTTTTGTAAGTTAGACAACACTGAATAGTCCAGACTCGTTTTATGACTCACAAAAAATTCTGCTATTTATGCAATTAGTATAAAACAAAGAGAAACTGACTCAGAAAATACCAGGAAGTAAAGACTATGATGTCTACTCCAAACAGTGGGGCACAGACAAAATGAGAAGTTTGCAATTTGAACCAAATTATTTCTGCTTATTTGGTACTTGAGCAGATAGAGCGCAATGTTTTTATTCATGTAGGAATTACATGTTCTGAAGTCGTAGCTCTGTGTTCTCCAATGAAATGACTACTGAGGTCCATGCAATTTCTTAGAAACATGAACTGGATGTTTACAACAAAGCCTTGTTCTGCCTGTGGTTACCTTGGCACCAAATGGCCCCGGTTCTCCCATAAACCCTGGGACTCCTATAGGACCCTGTGAAAACAAAAGGTAGGAGTCAATGGTTGTAGACATAGAAACAGGTGCACAGTTTTTCTTTTACTTCTAATCTACTCACATCTTCTCCAGGGTCACCACCTCGTCCTGGCAAGCCACTGTAACCTTTAGTCCCCTGAAAGAGACCGAAGGATATAATCAGACAAAAAGCAAAGATTGTCTATAACTTTTTTGAATATATTGCAAAACGTCATCCAAAATGAAAAGTTTTAATGACTGTTAAAACTACAAAACTCAAAAGGCATATTGAAAGGATGATAAATGTGAAATGGACTGGTTCTTATATAACACTTTTTCTACTATACTATTTATAAGAAGAAGCATAGAAGAAAAACAAAGAAACACTACTGGTGAAGATGCACATACAGGGAGTGCAGAATTATTAGGCAAATGAGTATTTTGTCCACATCATCCTCTTCATGCATGTTGTCTTACTCCAAGCTGTATAGGCTCGAAAGCCTA